GCAAAAATACGTACCTCCCAAGGACGTATTTCGCGGTCTCCAGAAACGTCTACGGGACTAAGTTTTCAGAATGAGCCTGGGTTAGAAGTACATTTACTGAATAAATTCCAGCATGCACGTCAAAAAGATGTGATTTTGTTTTAACAGATCATGTGACAACAAAAATTGGTGCAATGAGATGGCATTAATAGACAAACCAGGAGACTGACCACATTGTTAAAGACTCGAAAGGTTGTGTTGGTCATTCTAAAATTCTTAAGTCAAAATCTGTCATCTAGTTGGTTTGGAATCATCACCTTCCAGAACTCTTTTAAGCAGTTACATTTCCAAAGAGTGGTCTTGTGCCTATAAGGCCAGTTATGACTGCGTTCATAGAATTTTGAGCATATTCCAGTTTTGCGCATATGTCTAATTCTCATTTTTGGATGAAACATAGCTATTGGTTACCAAAGCACAGTGTTTTGTACAGTCATATCTTCAGAAGAATTATAATAAAGCATGTGTATTGTTACTATTGCTTCACAAACATTTCCTCCATTGCATAAATCAATCAAGCATCAGTCTCGTTCATTTCACCATGTTTGAGAGCTGTGTGAGATTCTGTTCTCCTTTTAGGGCTTTCACTATGTTTTCATAGTTGCTAGAATTGTTGGCGGAAGTATCTTCTTTTTAGTGTGTTCGCACCACAGGAACTGAAAATTATTAAAGAAACACCTTTTGAGGGATTTAAATTAGCTCCTACTTTAGCGCAGAGTGTAATCCAGCACATATAAACTACGAGTGACGTGAGTGTACATTGATTGGGGGAATGCATGCCATACAAACCACTGCCGCAGGGTTTTAAAATATTACAAAACACTAACATCCATGTCACATTTGTCAGCTGTTTTGCGTTGTTTTCTCATCTAACAATGATATGTAAGATTACAAGTTTTCATTGAGTTCCAAACAATCGATTTGTGTTGGGACAACATGAAGGAATTAAGTTAATTTATTAGTTTTTACAAATTTAAGTGGATTTAACATAAAACAATTAAGTTGTCCCCCCCAAAAAAACTTTTCAACTTAATTTAAATAAGTAGTTTAAACAAACAGCAAACTTCATTTTTTGAGTGTATATGTCTACACCCATATCAAAAAAATCAAAAACACACATGAAAACCCTTGAAAACATTTGATTGTTGTGTCCTACATGCGTCAGTTGTTGATTTTGTTGAATGTCACACTTGATGTTTTCCGGAAGATTTATTTTTAATGTGGGTTTAGTCGCTAGTTCTTATTACAGAGTTCCTGTACAGAGTGCAAATTACAGGGGGGTTTGGTGGGGTCTGACCCTCCTAATTGATCCCCCCTGAAGGACACCAAAACATCTTAATATTTAAGAAATAGTTTGCTCTATCTCTATCTTAAATAATATTAATAATTAAAATAATAGATAACTTCATTATACATTTGACCATCCCCATAAGGATTCATACCATTGTGAATGCATGTTTGTGTCGAAAATATTAATTCATGGGTTTAAAACTAGCAAATCTAGAGCAGTGTAAGTCTAGACAGCATAAGTGTTCACAAAACATGTTTCTTTAAAAAAGGTGTCTGTAGGTGTCTGTAAAACTAGATGCATAGTTTGTATTGTATTATACACTGGCTTGAACATGGAAGTTAAACAGTGTAATAAAAAATATGTGCAGTCTTTCATGGTCATCCATTAATAGGTGCAGGAAAGCAAACCTGTCACCGTTTATTTATTATGACAAATATCATTGAGAACCACTCAATATCTCTCAAAACACTGAAAACATAATAACAAGTTCGATTCATAAAGGAGATTTCATTAAGTTAAATATAAAAATTTGGTTCACTGAGGCATATTACCGAACATAACCGAAAAACTTAACCACCATTCGTCAATCTATAATTCGCACCCTGCTTATAATCACCTGGTGTGAAAGCTCTGTCAACTATTGGTCAATGTCACAGATGTGACCCATTGAGAAGAACTGAAAAATATAACTAGCCTTTCTGTTGGCATGTTGTGAAGTAACTCTGAGTGAGTGTTGGTTGTTGTCCAGTTTGACACACAATCCAAGATAAAGCAGTTGATTCTCATTGTGACTCAATGCTTGATGTAATTTACCGCCACAACACCCTACGTCAAAAGGATTTTGTTAAAATTAAGCTGATTTACTCTGACCTAAGGATCACCTCTGCATTTCCCAGCCAAGCTGTAATAACATTTCAATAAGAATCCATACAATCATTCATTTTGTATGCAGATTTTGCTTGGTCACAAGTTTACCAACAAAAGGCTTCTTGGTTTTTAACATAACTGAATGAGCAATACATTTCTACATCACTGTCAATGAGCTCTCTGACTACACCTTAAATGAAACTGATATATCATACTGCTATTATTTTGGCACACTAAATGACATTTTACTTGAGATTTCTTAAATTATTGCTTAATCTAACCCTGTAAAGTGCATTTAATTGGAAGCAAACTAAATATATTAATGGACCGTTGGTTCTTTGGCCATTAGCAAGGTGCATTTCCTCCATCCCCACCCATCTATTTCAGTGGCATATTGCTTTTACTGAGGAACTCTTTTCATGTAAACCCCTGCCCCCACCTTCTCATATAAATTGCAAGGGCAATCAGACAGAAAGCAGCAGTGGAGCAATCAATGTGTGTGGCTTGAACTGGGTGGGGCAGTGTGGGTGGGGGTGGAGGAGGATGGGTGGGTGACAGGCGATGAGGTCTGTGTCAGCATAAAATTGACAAAACTGTTGGGAATTGGGCTAGGGGGGATTTTACACACTAAAGGGGGGTTATTAATGTGAGAAAATATGCTATGCGGATGTCTTTGAAATCATCATGAGCTTCCTCATATAGATGTACTGTTTATATATTCTGTTAGAATGATTTAGCCACAATTTAAGATCGTTTTCATTAAGATGTAAGAGTAAGGTGCATTCTTGGTTTTGTTTTGTGATTACATGGGGCTCTGTAACCTCACAGTCAGCGCCTGGCTAAGAAATGCCACATGCGTCACATTGCATCAAGGTGCGACTGCAGTTTAGTGTCGCAATGCATTCCTGAATAGATTAGATTTAAGATTTAAGATCCTAGAACAGCCAGACATAAAACATGTCTGCAATATAGCGCACATATTTGTTTTCTTGGACAAACAACTAAAAACTAGAGTGAGGATAATGGTTATATATAAATATTCATTAATTCATTTTCTTTTCGGCTTAGTACCTTTATCAATCCAGGGTTGCCACAGCGGAATGAATCGCCAACTTATCCAGCACATGTTTTACGCAGCGGATGCCCTTCCATTTCTCACTCACACTCATATACTACAGACATTTTAGTCTACACAATTCACCTGTACCGCATGTCTTTTGACTTTGGGGAAACCAAAGCACCCGGTGGAAACCTACGCGAACATGGGGAGAACATGCAAACTGACCCAGGCTCAAACCAGCTACGTTTTTGCTGTGAGGCGACAGCATTACCTACTTATGTTTTAATTTATTTTACTATATTTTATAATAATAATAATAATAATAATAATATTATATTATTATAATGAATATGTTATGTGTTATGTCTTGTGTTAAAACAAAACTTTTATTTAAGATAGCTGCCAGAGCATTTAATAATCTTAGCAATCCTGTATTTTAATTTATTTTAATAAGGTATTTTTTTCTTGTATTAACAATGCTATCCAACTCAGTTAGTGTACCTATTTCAGTCATTTATCATTCCAGAACTATAATGCTTGCTTTCTGCTTGGAACACTAACACACAGGCATGGGACGATAACCGGTTTTCCGTGGTTTGGAAAAGTCAAGGTTTTAAAACCACTACCATTTTTTGTTATGCCATTCACAAAGTGTATATAAAGCATTTTTTGTTTTGTAAATAAATCTGTGTTTTTTAAAACAATGAAGACAGCAGAAGTCAGTGGTTTGTTTAAATTATTTAGCCTGGCATGTTTACTGTTTCAAAATATTATAAAGGTTTGCTAAAATAAAATATATTGTGTTCAATGGGGTAATAAAGTATTTTTTTTATCAAGACTGTTATGATCACCAGCGATCTAGTGGCTAACCACACAGTTTACTAAAGAACTACAAATCTGCTAGTATATAGACTACAAGTTTCAGACATGCACCGCTCAAACGCACCTGTTCCTCATTCCGTTGATTTCACACACTCACGGCTGGGAGCTGCTAATGAACTAATTACATGGACTTTTTACACAGCACACACGCACACCTCTTTGCTGATTCTTGTTATCTGTCTTTGGGAACACTACGTGTTTGATCTTTGCTTTGTTTTCTCGTTTTGATTCCTTGCCGCCTGTACTGACCATTTGCCCATTTAATGACCGCAACTTTGGATTTGCCTGCATATAACTGTTTGCTCCTGATTGTGACCATTGTGGGAGTGTAATCAATGGAGACTTGTAGTTCTTATTGTGGCAAGATTATAGTTTGTGGCAATGTTCTCCAGCGATCTATCATGGTTAGAACGCTGGCAATCGTGACACAGACATTTAAAAAGAACTTATTTTAGAGCAGTAATCACAATACCTTGCAACCGTGATTGGTTATCATACCATCCAAAATGTATACCAGCCCATGCCTACTTGCACTTATTAAAAAATATTAATAATGATATAATGCAAACATGAATAATCTTATAATAAAACAGTGGGGTCCAATTTTTTTTGGTGTGGATCAATAAAAGGTTGAGTAAATGATTTCAGCATTTTTGATTGAACTATTCTTTAAATTTGACATTCAGAGTCTAAATTGAATCACATTTTTTAAATCATACCCTCAATATTATACACTACATCTAGATGTATCAATCAGAGATGTGTGTAAAATATAAGGTTACATTAGCTTTTATCGATCTTGGTCATGACTCATGCTTTGAATCAGAATGCATTAACAAAACACTTTTTCTCTTCACCCCTCAGCATGCCACTCTCTCAGCCAGCCGTTCAGAGAAGGGCTCAGGATGGTCGAGTCGCTCACTTGGAGCCCGTTGCCGGAATTCAATTGCCTCCTGTTCAGACGAACAGCCTCACATCGGCAACTACCGGCTGCTCAAAACCATCGGCAAGGGCAATTTTGCCAAAGTGAAGTTGGCACGCCATATTTTAACCGGCAGGGAGGTAAGACGTCTACACAGATGGCTAAATTATGGTGGGAAATTGGGCGTATGCAATGTGAAAACATGACTTCTGAATCAAAATGTTCTATTTTTGCGATCAGACATATTATGCCTACCTTAGTGTGAGGCCATAAACATCTTTACATTTACTCTTTTTCTTTTCACACTTTGACCAAAAGCAATTATGTCATCAACTTACTGGGTTGTGCGCCATCATCATAATTTTCCAGGCGTTCACTCATTTTATAAGCAATTTAGTTGTCAAGTCGTTGCATCAGCTGAATTCTGATAATTTTTTTTTACTTTGTGTCTTCTCAGGTTGCAATAAAAATCATTGACAAAACCCAACTCAACCCTACAAGCCTGCAAAAGGTAGGAACTAGGTCATAACCGCTGCACTCATGAAAGCTTGTGATCCTAATTATGTCTTAGCGTGCTAATGTCTCTGCACTTAGTGCCCGAGGCATAAGGTCAAACTGAGGAGCTTGTTTTGTTCAAATTGTATTTGATTTAGCACAGTTTAGCAGCAGTCAGTAAAAACGTAAACTTTAACCCTATGACTTTGATTTGCGACCATTGAGTTTTGAGCTGGACTGTGCTCTGATACTGTTGTAATACGTCTGAGAGGTTTTTCTGTGTGAAATCTGGAATATACATCTGTGAGTTGTTGTTTTGTCTTTGAATATGCAAGAAAATGGCAGGAAAGGCTGGGTTAGCAATACAAATTGGAAAAAGCTGCAGGAACCAAGGAAACAGAAGTTGTTGATTCTTTATAAGCATGCTATCATATTATCATATTATATTATCATATTATATTATATCATATTATTATGCTATCTTATTCATGTCAATATTCATGTCAATTGAGTATGCTAATTTCATGCGGCCGCCATTTTAAAAAACAAAAGCGAGGCTGCGGAGGTAAAAAAACTCACAAGTATAGGATGAGCACTGTACACATTGCAACAACATGCTGTGGACTACAAACCTCCAGCTGTTGCCGTGATTTTAAAATGCAGATATGGTGTAAACATCACTTTATTATCATTCAGTTAACTTTAATTTAAACTATTAAAAGCATATTAGGCATCAAACAAAGTCACAATTCCTTTAAAAGGGGTCACACACCAGATGTGCTGCTCGGCGAGGCATCACGTAGCGCCACACAGCGACATGCATTTTAGAATTCTAAACATAGGTTTCTATCAGGGTACACACACCGGTGCCAAAAGTCGGCGGCTGTCCGTGGCGCCCAGCTACAACTCAGTACACTGTTCATATTTCTACCGCGCCACAGAGCACCAACTGGATAGTTTAATTTTAAATAACATTTGAATGTGCGTGTCTGTTGTGCGATACTTCTAACTGTCCTGTGTGTTGTCTGTAATAGTGTTGTCCTGGTACTGAAATTTTATAAATGTCCATTGCCTGCTAAAATTTTAGTGCTGCTGAGTGCGTTCTTAAACACAGCTGATTTGCCATTGTATTCACCAGTGCTCAACCGAAATGATTGTGATTGGCCGTGAAGGTCATCAGTTCACCGCTCTTCACAGATTGCGACCACACAGATACACGGACACTGAAATGTTTTAAAGCTGCGAAGATCAGTCTTTTGCTTGTCTGTGTTTGCACTCGGTAAACTTCGGTAAAGTGCAGTGAACTGATGGCCTTCACTGTCAATCACACTCATTTCTGTTGAGCACTGGTGAATACTATGTTAAATCAGTGCTGTTTAAGAACGCACTCAACAGTGATTACATTTAAGTGGGAAATTGGCATTTTTCAAAATTTCGATACCGAAATTGAGTATCGTGTTAGGTCTAATATAGTGAAAGAATAACTTGAGTTTGATAAAAGGCATCTAAAACGTGTGTTTGCGAGAGAAAGCATCAGCTAACTAGTGCTATTTCCTTTAACTTAGCTGAAAATGAGGTCCTGATATCCTTTTTATTGTCACAGACCATTTATAACGAACCTTCGGGTCACTCAGAAGGTGGTGAAATTATAAATTTGCTTCACTTTCTCTTGTCTGATAAGATATACAGACTATGTGACTCCAGGCGATACGTCCGAGTTTCTTTCCACCGCAGCCTCGATTTCGCTTTTAAAATAGCAGCCGCGTGAATTCAGTCTATAGATGACTTTATCTGGAAATATTAGAACTGTTAGAATACAGAAATCTGAACAATTAAAATAAAAATGATTAAAGAATAGTATTTGATTATGCATGCTTTTTCGCTAGGGTTTGTATTTTTTATACTATTTAAAAAATATCACATTGATAGACTCACAAATGGCATTTCTTCATATTTGCAAAGTGCAAAAAAATGCACTTATGAGGTGCAAAATTGGCCTAGCGGTTGTGCATATGGTTTGATGACTGGCTAATGTTTGTCTTTATGCGGCAGTCTGTGAAATCATTACACATCTGATGTGAGAAGTGTGGTGTTCTGCTCATTCAAAAGTTCTCTTTGCCTAAGAGAATTTCAAACCTAGAGATTATTATTAGCTCTCTAAGTTCTTCTAGGATATCCAGAAATAATGCATTAAAAGAAGCGGTGTCATGGTGGCTCTGTGGTTAGCACTGTCGCCTCACAACAAAAAAGTCACTGGTTTAAGTCCCAGCCAGGTCAGTTGGCATTTCTGTGTGTAGTTTGCATGTTCTCCCCGTGTTCGCGTGGGTTTCCTAACATGCCAAAGACATATCGTATATGTGAATTGAATAAACAAAATTGGCCATACTGTATGTATGTGAATGAGTGTGTATGGACGTTTCTTAATTCTATGCATGATACCTTGGTGGTTCATTTCACTGTTGCGACCCCTGATGAATAAAGGGACTAAGCCGAAGGAAAATTTATAAATGAATTCAAAGAAAATGAAGTATGAATGCTTATTTACTGGGTGGTGTGATAACACTACAGTTATGTTAGTTGATAAGTTGGTTTAAGAAGCTAATGAGTGAAGTCATGTGGTTGAAACCAAATGCAAATGAAGGGTCAAAGACGTTGTGTACTGCAGTATGTTGTGTAAGGTGGGGCTGAAGGTGCTTGCGGTCTCTGCAGGATGTATTTAGACGCTGCAGTCCCTCCTGGCTGCATTAATATTGCTCACCAGTACAATATTTGTGTAACAGTTTCTACTTTCATAGGTTGATCCTCCGTTCAGATGCAAAACGTATCAATCACAACAACCTTCATTTGTCTGTCTGGCTTCTAAACTGACAGTAGCTGTATTAACATGGATATAAAACATAGACATGGACAGTTTTTTTTTTTTATATGATAAGTAATCACATTCCACACAATCTCAAATGTTGTTTTAGTTATTGTGAAATACCTGAGCTAAATTATTCAATCTGATTATCTGGTTAAATTTGAATTACTTTCATGCACAAGTTATTGATCATGTAGGAAAACAGTAGCATTGTTTTTCCTCGCTGCATTTAATTTTTGTTACTGATAGTAATTTTGTTCACTGATAAAAGATTTTAGATCACTATAAATAGCTTTTATTCAGAAATTTATGTAATATTCTATTTTATGCTCATGCTTAAGATTAAAAATATCATTGATTTATTAATATAGAAATTAATAAATCAGCACCAAGGCTGCATTTATTATTAATGTTAATTTTCCTTATGTATAATTAAAGTGTAACCTTTTCATCTGTTCCTGTGATGTCAAAGCTGGATTTTCAGTCTTAAATGTCACATGACCGTACAGAAAGGATTCTAATATTCTGATTTGCTGACCAAGATTAAAATATTTATTCATATTATTATCATAATCATTATCGTTGTTGAACACGGTTGTTCTGCTTAATATTTTTGTGAAAACCCTGATGCTATTTTCAATATTCTGTAAATAGAAATTTTAAACGAACATTATTTAGTTAAAGAAGAAATGCTTTGTAGCATTATAAATGCAACTTTAGTCAATTTAATGCATTTTTGCTGAATAAAATGATTAATTTATACGGACCTCAAACTTTTGAACAGTAGTGTTATAGACAGTTTTAATTGACCAATAAAAGATTATCATGGAAATTATTAGCGTAACTACCTTAGCGTAATTTTTGTTGTGTTTCCTGATTACTTAATGTTTTTTAATTTTATGTAATAATGTTCACGTTTGTCAAGCTGCTTTCGAATGATAATTATTGTAAAAAGTAGGACTGGGTACCAATCAAAAAACTTCCATATCTGTACCGATACCGATCCTTTAAATTCAATACTGGCTCCCAGTCGATACTTTTTAAATATACAATTCAATGTCAAATCTTGTTTGGAAACTGCTATTGAATTTAAAGTATCAGTATCGGTACCGATATCGAAAATGTCTCATCCCTAGTGAAAAGTGCTATAAAAATAAACAATTGAATTTAATTGAACCATTTTCTTAAGCTTTGCGCATGCCTTGCGCGTTGTGGTACATTTAGACTTCTGCGCGCTGTTTGTGTTGCTCTGCAATAACATTCAGTAAACAAAGTTTTTAAATGCTAGCTGGCAGTGATGTTTTTATGTTCTTCTGTGTCGAGTTTCTGCGCTGATGTTTTGTTTTTTCTGAACGCTACCTTATTGTAAAAGTAGCTCAAACTCGATCCTTTTGAGGCAGGAACCGGGGGACATGCAACAGTTTTAATCATAAGGTAAACACAAAACAACAGTTTCCATCTGGGTCTGAAAAGTTTGCACAGCTCTCGTTCCCGCCCACACTCGTCAGTGCTACCAAGCCAACCAATCACAGAGCTTGCGCTACGCGTCATTGCGACATGTAGTTAAATATTTTGAGAGGTGCGTGTCGGCAACGGCCATGGCGAGGGCTTTGCGCTGGAGCATATGCATGTGCTTGACGCAGAAGTATAAATCAGCCTTAACTTGTGTTGTCATATTTAGTTCAAATCAGGTTTTGTTAGTCTTATATGGCCACAGCACTGGAGATCTGCCAAAAATCCTTATTCTCCACTTCTTCTGTGCTCTCCTCTCTGTTTAATCCTGTTCAGAGATGAAGGAGGCCAAAGCGCAATCAGCTGACCATGAACTTTCCCAGCAGCTGGATTTCAGAAGAGCTGGAAAAAAAGCATGGATATCGTGTGTGTGTGTGAGGATTTGGGGTGTGACCATGAAGTGCGGGGCCCCATCATAAGAGCATAGTGCTACTTTAATGAAAAAAAAAAAAAAAAAAAAAGAAAGCCTAGAGTGCGGGCGATGGACTTGGACTGTGGGTGAAGAAGGGTAGAGGGGGTTGGGTGTCCCTCATTCAAGTCTCTTGCAGCCAGGAGTGCAGTTCCAGACAGACGAACAATGGGGGCAACTGAGTCCGGAGGGGGTGGGGGACTCCAGGGGGCCCGTGGCACAAGAGCAGACCCTG